CATAACAGCAACTGTACAACGTTTCGACAAGGTTTTGTCATCATCAGGTACAAGTAGTTTACACTGACACAGTTGGAAAAACACTGTACTAATTGATTAATCATATACCAAATGTCTCTAATTGCCCAGCTCTTTTGTCTATGGTAGTTTCTATGACCTACTCAGTGTTATGATATTTTTTAGTTTTTCTGTTTTCAGAGCCTAGACTGTTGTATCAGAGTTTTACACTTTTTAACACATTTTTACTGGCAGCCATTTCACACTAGAAATTCTAAAATTTATAGCGTTTCAAATATTTTGCTCATCATATTTATTCAGTACACTGTGTTATAAAATTTCAGAAAACATTAATGTTGTTTTGAGTTGTTAATAAGCTAAAATGTTTGTTAATATTATCAGTACAAAATATGATGAACTCCACATCCAGGTATTTAATAAATTTGCTCACTCCTGAATAAATATATTTCACTAAGACATTCAGGGGTTTGAATTCTAAATATAATATTGTTGAACCCAAAACTTAGTTGATGGTCGTTTCAGTATTATTTTGAACTTAATTATTTTAAGCATTTTTAGCCTAAAAGTGAAAGCTAGTAGAACAGAGCTGCATGAAAGTCAAGTTATAATAATGCTAAGATGTTAAGAATACTGGCTTAAGTTTCAACATTTAGTTACCTTTTTTTTTTTTTTTCTGTTCACAGACACATCACCACTACCTCTTCGTCCTTGATGATTTGCTCATAAATAATGCTTAGAAATCCCCCTGGATGTTGAAGAAATAACATTACTTTTTCCCCCTGCAGTACTGTTTCAGTGTTTGTCAGCCATGGAAGACTTAATTTCTTTTTCTGATTCATCAGTTACAGAAAAATACAACACATCAAATCACAACAGTTTAGATTTTGAAGGCTTTTTAGGATCGAAGTCTAATCAAAACCTGCCTATACAGTTTTTATCATATATGCCACCTGCTTTAACAGTTGACTGTACAAATTTAGTTCCCACAATTCATGGCAGTCTTCAGTATTCTTGGGCACAGTTGCCATCATTTTGTCCTCAAAGACCCAGTGTTCCACCTTTGGGAGCACAGCATTTGCCACAAATCTTTCACCATCCCTTTCATACAGATACATACAGGTTTGCTGCTTCCAATACTTGCTCATATACTATGCAACACAGTAATTCTACTCCAGAGCTAGCCAATTCCTGGATAAGTCATGAAGATGGTTCTAAATCCACATATGCCAAAGATGATTGCCCTCAAAGACAGTTATATTCTGATAGAAATTTTTCCAAACAAACCAGTAAAATGAATTGCACTGAAAAAGAAAGACACAATGATTTAATAGACTTGTGTGATGTCAACTCTGAAATCTCTTTGTTTTCTGAAGTTCGCCCAAGTACAGAAGATGATATTCTTGAGTTGTTTGATCCATTAATTGTTGAAAGTAGGCATAAAGAAAAAGAAAAAGATTTACAGGTTCTTTCTAAACGGCTTTTGCATACTTCTGTGGACACCTGTGAGCAAATGCATAACAAAGGTTATAATGATAAGAATCTTGCAGATTTTTCTTCTAGTGATAGTGAGAATTCAGAAATTGAAGAAAAGCCCAAGTCTTCTTTCAACACAACATGCAAAGAAGGCTTTAGTATTAATTTCTCTGAAAATTCCAATCTGAAAAATCCAAAAGAAATTGGTAGTGGAGAAAATATTTGGATATTGAAAAAAGATAACATATTTAGCACTGAGCTAATTACTTTTTGTGCTGAACTGAAACAGTTACGATCAGAATTTACATATAATGATCATAACACAAATGAAGGGCTAGTTATTAGTGCAGTTTTAGAGAATAAACACAATTCTTCATACAATGTAAAATTAGAAATTTGCTCTGAATTGTATGTTGGACCCATCTCATTTACCTGTGACATGGGAACAAGCATTGAACATGTCATTAGTCATGTTGTGTGCAGTATTTTTGGTGATGTTACAGATTTAAGTGTGGAAAATTTTATTTTGAAGGTCCATGGTCTTGCAGAATATCTGACATGTGATTCTACTCTAGCTGATTATGAATATGTTCATTATTGCCGGAAACACGATGAACCTGTTTGTCTTCAATTTATTGAATTCAAGGATTTAAAGCATCCATTAGCTAGAACCCTTCAAGATGATACTAAAGTCTTGGATATTAAACCTACTAACTTGTCTCTCAGATCTTCTTTGATTGTCAGTTTTAAAGCAGTTAACATTGTTATGGAAACCCTAAAGAATGAAGTAGGAAAGCTGAAAGAGCTTGCTAAGAATCTTAAACAAGATATTTTACAGCCTTTAGGTGTAATTCAGGCAGTGAAAGCAATGTGTTTGCTGTTATTTCATGTGGAAACAACGGAGATAAGTGATTCTCTTCAGAACCTGAAAGGATTCTGTAAAACATTTGGACAATCAGGATGTCAGATGGATTTCCTTCTTTCACAGGAAGAAAGTTCAAGTGAACACACTACTGCTGTTCAGTCAATGCACACTGTCAAGGATAACACATACATGTATGATCAATTTCACCAAAGACTTGAGTTAATTGTTAATCAGTTATATGGATCAGTGTACCAGCTTCTTGCTATGTTCTGCCAAGCATATGAGGTGGATTTCATAGTGGAATCTCCTTTAGCTTTAAAATTAAAACCAAGTGGTATGAAAGATGCTACAAGTATATTGGATACACTACTTGTTCATGTAGGATCAATACACTGTTGCTTACCTCAATGGGAAAGTAATTTTGATAATTTTTCCATTTTGTGTACATTGTGTCATGGAACTCAAGAGATAGCATCAGTGTCAACCCTTAAACCTGCTTTTGTTAAGAAAAGTTTTTTTGATCGAATTGTTTTTGATGAATGGCTTGAGTTTCAGACTGTCTGTCTTTGCAGGTTGCCTAGAGAAGCAAAATTGTATTTTACACTAACAGGTATTGAAACTGTTAACGTAGAATCCAGGCAAGTGGAAGCTGATCAGAAAGAGAAAATTGTTATTGGGTGGTGTGGCATAAAGCTATTTAACTTTGAAGATGAGCTTTGTCAGGGAGACTATTTATTAGGATTCTGGTCTGATGAAGTTAAAAAAGAAATGGGACCAACATTGTCGAATCCAAGTTCCAATTGCCCACTTTTGCAAATTAGGTTTAACGAATTTGAAAACAAAGTTGTCTTCCCTTGTGTTATTCAGGGAGATTTTGCCACAACTTACAAGGATATAGATCATCTAGACTTCATTACTAGAAAGCATCTTTTAGAGATCGTACAGAAAGATCAATTTACTACAATTTCTCAGGAAGAGAAGGAACTGTTGTGGGCCAATCGCCATTGCATGTGTGGCATTCCTGAAGCTCTTCCCAAGATACTTCAAGCAGCTCATGGATGGGACTGGGCATGTTTGTCTGATATTTATTTTTTGCTACAAGAATGGTGCCCTTTACCTCCAGTTCATGCTTTGGTGTTGTTACTTGGTCAATTTCCTGATTTTAAAGTTCGTTACACTGCTGTCCAATGGATAAAAAATGTGGGTTGTGATGAACTATGTGATTACCTACCACAGCTTGTGCAAGCTCTACGCTTTGAAACCTGGGACAATTCACCATTAACTTGGTTCCTTTTGGAGCGCTCCTTGACCAGTGTTAGAGTGACACATCATCTTTATTGGCTTCTCAAACAAAACATAGATGATCCTCTTGTTGGCAGAAGAATGCAGTTGATAATGAATGCTTTACTTGCTATATCAGGGAAGGCCATGAGAAAATTGTTCAAAAACCAAGAATCTTTGTTAAATAGTTTGTCAGACATTGCTGATCAAATCAAGGATGCTAAAGATTCCATACGATTGCCTACCTTGCTTCAAGGGTTAGAATCAGTTCATCACAGCCTTGTAGATGAACCCACTGTACTTCCACTGAGCCCCAGTCTTGAAGTTTGTGGATTAGATGTACAGTGCTGTAGCTACTTCACCTCTAACACACTTCCACTAAAGCTTGTTTTTAAAAGCCCAGATAAAGGGGCAAAATCAGTGGAAGCTATTTACAAGGCTGGGGACGACCTACGTCAAGACATGCTGACTATTCAAATGATAAGAATTATGGACAAAATATGGCTGAAGGAAGAACTAGACTTAAAGATTATCACTTTTACATGCATACCTACAGCAGTAAAAAAGGGCATTGTAGAAATGGTAACAGAAGCTGAAACATTACGAAAAATTCAAACTGAACATGGCTTGACAGGCTCGTTCAAAGATTGTTCTATAGCAGAATGGCTTCAAAAGCATAGCACTTCTGAACTTGAATATCAGCAAGCAGTTGAAAACTTCACACTTTCTTGTGCTGGATATTGTGTTGCCACATACATTCTGGGAATATGTGATAGACACAATGATAATATAATGTTAAAGACATCAGGACATGTGTTTCACATTGATTTTGGAAAGTTCCTAGGTGATGCACAGACATTTGGAAACATAAAAAGAGATCGTACACCCTTTATCTTAACCTCAGACATGGTTTATGTTATTAATGGTGGTGACAAACCGTCAGAAAAGTTTCAAAATTTTATAGATATTTGTTGCCAAGCTTTTAATATCATCCGTAAACAGAGAAATACTTTACTGAATCTCTTCTCTTTAATGGCTGCATCTGGTATCCCTGGAGTTACAGAGAATGCTGTTTACTATGTACAAAATAAACTTCTACCCCAGTTTACTGAAGCTCGTGCTACTGAAAAGTTCACACGGATGATTGAAGAGTGCTTGAAATCCAGGTTTATTCAGTTTAATTTTTTTATTCACAGTTTGGCACAGCGACGATTCACAGGGGATCATAATGATCAGCTGTTGTTGTCTTTCAGTGCTAAGACTTTTACTAAACATACTGATGGGTGTATCAAATCTGTTGAGATGATATCTTGCCAGAAGCGATATGATCCAGAGAAGTACTATGTTTATGAACTCAAAGTTACACGCGAAAATGTCAGTCATTCAATGAATGTTTATCGTACGTATCGAGAATTCTGGGAATTTCATCAGAAGTTGTGCATGATGTTTCCGTTAGCAAAGTTCCATCCTTTACCACGAGGATCTTTTGTTGGCCGGTCCAACATTAGAGAGGTTGCTGAACAAAGAAGGGTTGAAATTGATTTATTTTTGAAACAACTTCTGAAAATGGCCGAAGAAATAGCACACTGCTCATTGGTTTATACTTTTTTTCATCCTATTCTTAGAGATCAAGATGGTCGCTTGACTCAGAATGTTATACCAAGAGGTACAAACATACTAACTCAAGAACAAGAGTCATTTGTTGGAGTAAAAAGTGAAGTGAAGCTTTCCATTATATACAAGAACAATAGTCTTTTTGTGATGGTGATGCATGCCAAAAACCTCAGGTCTTCTAAATATAGTGCTCCTGACTCCTATGTGAAAACATACTTGATTCCTGATCCACATAAACTAACAAAAAGAAAAACAAAAGTTGTGTTTAAGAGTACACACCCAACATTCATGGAAATGCTTGTTTATGGCCTTCCCCTGAATGTTGTAAAAAAACGTACTCTTCATCTATCTGTATGGAATTTTGACAGAGTGCAAGAAAATGCATTTTTGGGCTCAACTACAATTTCCCTTGAAGAGCTAAATTTATTGAAGGAAAATGTCAAGTGGTATCCTCTAAATAGCGTATCTCAGTAGAAATTAAATGATGCTCTCGTGCCTTTTTCATTTAAAAGACATAAGAATTGCATTTTCTGTTTTTGGATATTAGCTATTGAGTAATATTTTATTCGTGATATTTTCTGTTGATAAAAGTGCAGTATTAAACTAATCAATTGAAGATGTACATTACTGAAATTATAACACACTTTTGTCCCTTCATCTATTTTAAATATACATTCATATGAAATATAGTTGGATAGAAAGTTTATTTTGTAAGAAAAATATATTTTTTTCTTATAAGATATACATAGATGTCTTGGTTATGGTATATTGTTGCTAATTCTTTCACTTTTTTTGGTAATATCAGTGCTTTAAATGTAACCAACTCCATACAGACTTGTGTTTCAATGCAGATACTGAGCATTCTGAGAAATGGCTATCATGCTGTTGCTTCTGCTAAGTTCGATCGAGTCTTTGGGCTCCTCATCTTCTATCCACCTAGATAGAAATGCAAGTTATTTCTCAGCACACGACTTTTAATATCTGAAAATATTGGAGGTCAGTAGGCAAGAAATAATTGTATATTTGAAGGCATTTTTTTAGGGAGTGTATAGAAGTTAAGGTCAAAGAAGCATACTTATTTAGAAATATTGTATAGGACAAATTATGTAGTGTGTTTTGCATGCAGTATTCATAAACACTGTAGTTCCTAAGTAAGAAAAAAATATTTTTTTTGAAGTTGTAAAAGTATGTGTATTTTGAAAGCAGTGTATATTTATGAATTTTCAAGTTTTCCAAAAATTTGTAGGAGTTTCGAAACAACTTTTAAAATACCAAGAAACCGTCAGTAAATGAAATGTGTAGTCATCAACTTCACATGTGATATTATTATTAATCAAAATTAACCAACATTGTAAGAATTGTAAGGTTGTATTTATTAGATTTAATGTAATTATTCATATAATCATTTTTAAAAAATGTGTTTCATCCTACACAGTACATATCTAAACAAGATACAAATCTAGATGGATAAAAATATATTAAGTGATACAACAAAAGTGATACTTTGTTTATATCTTTCCATCAGTTTCAATGTACCACTTTAAAACAAATCATCTGTCTTTAATGCATGAATTGTAATACTTCCTTTATGAACAATGTATAAAAGGATTTGTTTGATTTACTGGAAAATATCAAATAAAAAGATAAAGTAGTAGTTTTTTTTATAGCACCACATAAGATTTACAATTATTATAATGGTATACACAGTTATCTATGATATGCAAGTGTATTTATATGTCAGTAAGCACAAATATATCTATCAAGGGTAAAAAAAATGTAGGAATGATTTTATTTTTTACAATATATATAATGTATAAATTTAATTCTTATGGGTATGAGTAAGGGTCCAACACAATATTTGGTTAATGTTGAATTTACTAGTTGATGTATTTATCACCAGTTTATATGCATTTAAATATAAAATAGCTTTATGTACAGATATATATATATATTGTGAATCTGTTTGAGAACTTACATTTAAGAATTGTGTAAGTCACTAAACATAGTGCTCTTTCTAGGATGAGATCATGGAGTTAAAGTAGCATTGAAGAAAAACTTCCAATTAGTTTAAATATATTCATTCATATTTTGAATATTTTCTAAAGTTCACAAACATTTAATGATTTTGTATTTGAAATTTTTTTTTAATATTTCAAAATGGATAATGCTGAGTATAACCTGAATTATAACGCGTTTAAAATGGATAATGCTGAGTATAACCTGAATTATAACGCGTTTTACACACATTTTCTATACAACATTGTTAATAATATTTCATGAATATTTATAAATTTATGTCTTTAAATACATAAAAGCTCGTCCGTCATGAACCTAACTATGCAAAACTTTAATGTATTTTGCTAAAATCTGATGCTAAAATTTAATTGGGAGTTTTGCGTAAAATCAATTAATGTATCTTGGCATTAAAAAATCATTTTCATTTTGTAGTACTGTGATGCCAATATGACACAACATGTAGTGTTTACTTCTTTACACCTTGTTACGTTAAACTCCAAACCCTTTGACAATAAATGTTAGCCTACCTAAGTGAATTAATATATATATATTACCAATAATTCCATTTATCAAGTGATATTATAATCAGTTAGCAAGTAAAATCCTTGTAAAGGTCCATTTGAATTGATCCAAATATTTGACTTTAAGTAACTTAATTTGGGACCTTAATCATGATGTGTAAGTAAGATTAATCATCGAACAGTATTGTATTGAGAATTAGTACTACTTTGAAAAGGCAGTTCTAATTTCATTCTTATTGCATTTAAAGACCCAGCTGGTAACAAAATGGTCGAAATATGCATTCAGCATTGCAAACTAAAGTTCTGTGTTTCATTTAAAAATTTAAATGTTAGATAGTGTTTGTAATGTACTTTTTTTTAAAATACATGTTTTATATCAATATTGAATATTTTGTGAACTGTTTACAAACGTTCTATAAGGTTTTATAGTAACATTACTGATTTTTCATTTGAGAGTTTAATATAATGAATAATATGGTCTTTACTTTGTCATTACTTTGACAACTTGGAATGTCTAATATTGGGCAGTTTAATGAGTTGCTTTACATGTGTCTGATAAGTAATAGAATGAACAGAGCAATGTCATGACTTTAGATTCATGGTATTTTCTTACCTAGACATGTACAGAAGTATTTCATTTTTCTGGTTTTAAGTTTTGTAAGAATTGTAAATATTAATGAAAACTAGTTTATGAGAACTAACCAACTAATGAAAGGAATTAATACTTGTGTTACATCCATTAAAACCTGATATAGATATCAACAAATCAGCTGTTCATTTCTTGTAAGAATGAAGGTTCGTGTTGCCATCCTGAGTGATATTTTAACAGTATTACTAAATCAAAATCAAGTATAGAAATTGTCCTTTTTATCAAGCATTTAAATGTATATGAAAAGGTTTTGTTCCTTTCTTACATAGATACATACTTTTGCAAATGTATAGCACTTAATAAAATTTCTATTTAATAACTGGTTACTGGTTTTATCCCTATTACTACAGTATACCTAGAGGTTTATTGTGAATAACTTTTACATATATTAACAAATGGTATTCTTGAGGAAAAATAAGCATTTTGCATTAAATGAACAATTGTTATTCATGGTTTTTATTTTAGTGAGAGTTTATCATTCCATTTGTTTTATGGGGTTTTAAGCCCCCAGAAGACTTAAATGCTAGAAAACGACTTTTGGTACCACTTTTGATCAGATTCCTTTCTTCTGAATTTTCAACATTCCACCACATTCTTTTTTATACAAAAGTACATGTATTGTTAAAAAGTATGTAACTTGCAGAAAGCTGAGCAATTGACTCAGTTAATTGAAATAATAAAATGATTGTCATAAAAATTTTCAACTAATGTTTCTGATTATTACAGTTTTTAATTATTCTGACTGTCCACTAATCAAAATTGTGATTAAATCAATTAAAGCCTTGAAAGTAATCAACTAATACAAATTTGTGTCTCCAATTAATACTGTTTTTGATTATTTTAACTATCCAGGTACCGTATTTTTCGGAATATAAGACGCACAGGTGTATAAGACGCACCCTTATTTTGAAGACAAAGTTTTGGGGGGGGAAAAGCTACAGTCGCATTTGAAAGATTTTTATTGAACAAGAATTCAGTTTGATACTTTAAAAATTTGTACATATTGTTCTAAACACAAAAGAGCTCAAAACATCAAAATAAGAAAATACCGTAAATAAAAAAAAAAGGTTTACTGTTGTTTAGTTTGGTTCAAAACCTACAAAATCTTCATTGCTTTCACTGTAATATATATTTTTTATTATTTAGAGGGTATTATAAATATGTATGTTTTAAAAGAAAAAACTATTATTGTTATAAATAACACATT